TGGGGGCGGCACGGGATGAGGGTGACTGTGACGGTCAAACGTCGTTTGTATGCCCTGTCACATTATACTATGACACTATGTCAATGACACCCCATATTTCAGGCACAAGCTAGACCTACTGCTCAAAAACTGCGGAGTCTCCCAGAGTCAATGTAGAGTTGTACATGTTTTTTATTGTACAATGTATGTTGCACGAAGTTGTTCGAAAAAATGTCAACGTTGCAGCGTCACTTACGCCCATATTCACAAACATACCATGAGGTCTCACAGTGCGCGTGGACGCACAGGGTCACACACGAACCAATCACAGATCTCTATTCAACGCTGTGCGTTCGATTTGCTGCTTCACATAAGCGAGTATCGTTTGTGAATAGGTACGGGTGTTAGCGATTGTTGCTCGTCATGTTTTTGAACCTTTTGTCCTCTAATGTATCCTGAAACCAACGCAACGCGTGGTTATGGTATGGTACTCGTAGTATTGAGTTATGGTTACTGTATCTCCTATTAATAATATATGTTCCGAAATCTATTTTTACTAGTCATGTTTATCTAGTTATAATAAAGTTATATGTATTAAAATACGCTATAATGCAAAACCACCAAATGAAAACTATGTTCTACAGATTCAGTCCTGTTTTAGAAGTGAAAATTTTCAGCTACATCGCGATATTTAAAGATCGACAAAAATACCTAATTTGTAAGTTCCTAAATTCAGTCCGCCTTTTAAAAACTGTAGCCAAAATGCTTTTTTGGAAAATCTAATGAAAAATCAACACTTTTTGAATTCTTTATAAAAATAATTCATACTGTTTTGAATTTTCTCGAGGATATTTACGCGAACTTGAACTGACTTTTAAAAAGACATTTTGACAAAATAACTGATAATTAATGTAAAAATAGTTGTACCTACATACAGAAATACCTAATACATTATTTTACCTTTTCAGAACTCTTTTTAAACTGTCGTCATAGTAATGAAATTAAATATTATAATGGCTTAAATACCTACATTAAAATAGATTCATTCCATTCATAATATAATCCAACATTTTAAGCACAATAATTGAATGTAGTTTTTATAATCTGCACAATTATAATGTTAATTAAATTAATAATAATAAGAATAAGTATACTTAACTACTTCCTTAAGGAAGTTTAAAAATACTTACTAATTACTTACTTGATCCTAATTAAGAAATGTAACCAGCGATATTTCCCAATAATACTGTTACTATTTAATTACAATGTATCTATTTTAATAAAGTTACGAAATGTATTCGAACATTTTCAGTATTTTCATTATACTTATTTAATGTAGAATATTGTAAGTAGGTCTTCGATTAATGGAAGAGATTGTGATTGCATTTAATGTAAGTAACTTTTTAATTAACTTCCATTAACAAGTTAAAGTAGTTGTAAGTAACTTACAAAGGTATAAGAATTTTCCAGGATTTTTCTTCAAAAATACTGTACGTTAATAATACACACTATACAAAGTTAAATAGATAAATTGTGATGCGATTTTCTTAACATAAAGTATGTAAACATTAACGTTTAGTTCTGAAAATATACGAAGCGAAAGAGACGAAAAGACGCTGTATTTACGTGATTTTATTAGTGATTTTCACTTTTCGTCGTTAAAATTCAGTGAAAAGCGGCAAGTACTGCAATTTTTAAGTAACATCTTCTGACAGCATGAGGGGTAATTAGATTAGATTTCATAATTTTATTCGACATAAACATCTTTTTATAACTGTTTATAATGTTTTCATGATTTTTTGTTGATCTATCTGATATTTTTAATTAGTAGGTACTTATTTTAAAGAAGTTGTTAAACATCATTTTTTAAAATTTTTGATGTTAGTTCCAAGAAAGGGGAAACGTTTATGTATTTGAGCATCAGTTAGTAGTTAGTTTAGTTATGTTCATCCAAATTATGAAAATAACATGTTCGTTCGTTCGTTTCAGCCGAATGACCTCCACTGCTGGACAAAGGCCTCCCCCAAGGATTTCCACAAAGACCGACATGAAAATAACATGATTACGTAACAACTTGTGAAAAAGCGCAGGCAGATTTTATTTTTCATAAAATTACAGGTATAATTATTATTTTATGACACTAAAATCCAGATTACTATTTGCTCTAGACTGGTTTTTCTAAGCGCGTAGTGCTTTAAATATAGGGGCTATTTACTCAAAATTAACTTATTAGTTAATGATATTTACTTTCATGACTTTTTAACATCTTCGAGAATTTGCCAACTCGTATTTCTGAAACAATTAATTTCAACAGTTGTGTTCTTCGAAATGAATTTGCCAAATCATATTATGTCGGTTCATCATTTCAGTTGACCGTCACCTGTGTGGTCTGCATTAACGATAACTTGTGTTGTAACCGTTAACAGTACTTAACCCGTAACTGTTGATGCGAAAGAAAGATCCTACCACATTATTTTTATATTTAGCGAGTAGGTAGGTACGTCCTATTGTAGGTATATCGAATTATCTTTTGGAAAAAGCTGTTGAGACCGTGAGCGCAGTCTGACATTATTTGGAAAGATTTGGAAAGAAAAAACTGAATTTGGAAAATCTTTTTCTCGATTTTCCGCTCTATTAGCTATCAATAGTAATAATATAATTTTTTAGGTAAAATGATGATCGTAATGTAAGAGCACTTTTCTGATTTCATATTTTCAGTTGAAACTACACTGGAGTGCAAAGAAAAAGGATCGGTTGGAAAATCTTCTATATCTTCTTCTTATGAAACAAATGCTTTAATAACTTCGCAATTTATTTCTTTTACATTTATTAAAATAAAAAGCTTTAATTATTTTAGTTTTTATTTCAATCCTAGGTTAGGTACCTTTGAAGAAATTGCAGATTTTCTAACAGAACCTTTTCTTTGCAGTCCAGAGTAGTTTCAACTGAAAATCTAAACACGGAAAATGCCCTTACATGCACGTGTAATTTTTAGTGTGACGAAATTATCAAACAATCATTAAACTAATGCACTCGGCTGTTTATTGGCATATAATGCGGAAATTATCTTACGCGTAAACTTAGGTCTATAAAACTATTTATCTTGTTTACCGTATTATTATTATGCAATGCTTAGTCATTAGGGAAAACTACACATAAAACGGATTGAACTTCTGAGGTGTCTATCTTTGAACTACGAGTATGTAGAGCTGTTAAAACAGTTTTTTATTCACTGTTTTTACTAAGAAATTAGGTACAGAAAGTAGGAACTAAATACTTTAATTAAAATTTTATAATTAGTTATTGTATTACTTATGTAGGTATCATCACTTTATTTTGCTTTGATTGGTTATCAAGAAATGTGTAAGATAGAAAAACTTTTATAGTTTCATCTCCATTGATAGAGATCTGAAGCAGAATATTCTGAAGTATAGCCTGACCAGGAACATAAAAACCCTGGCATAGAGGCGCGTCAATTGCATTTGATAGTGCAACACTGAGTACAGTCGTACCTGTGTTAAATTAATAGGCCAACTTTATGTACCAGGATTCAGGATTACGGGTTAATTTGATATTTTCATAAATTAACGAAAACATATTATTATAGGTAACCTGGTTTAAATAAATTAAATGAAACCACCAATCGAGCAAATAGGATTTATTTTATTATTCATCAATAATCAAATTCAGAACTTGAATATTCAACTGCAATGTCTGCTCATGAACGCTTCAAACTAGGTACTTCTTTCCCAATTCCATAAAATTCAACACTCAGAAAGTGACAAAAAATTTTAGAATAGGTAGTTGAAACAAACCACAGCTAATTTTCATAGTTGACTGTACTATACGATAAACATGTCAGTCAATTTGACAACCTTTGTCGGAAACATTATTCAATGAAAATATTGTCCGAACCCTTAGTATTTCTCTTCGACAAATATTTTAACACATTGTGAACCACTTTTCTTTCACGACTATAAAAAGATTTTAGCAATTTAATTCACAAAATCAGTTGCGTACATTTAAAATAAAGTTTGTTTACACTTTGACAGCAATAGACTGACATGCAAGGTGACATGTCAATGAAGTTTTCAGTTACTGTTGCCATTAAAAGAAATTAGTACCATTAGTTTTCCGCAACATGGCGAGGGTTTTTATGTTCCTGGTCGGGCTATAGTTGGGATTCGAACTTGAAACCAGCATTTTAGTCTGTTACAGACCACCCGTCTTTTTTAGCTTGATGACTAATCTGCTATGTTTGTGTTTAGTCACGTTCTTTGAAATATAAACGGTGACTAGATCACATTCACGTCTGATTTTCAGGAAGTTTTCTTAATTGAAATACTTTCTAGGTTCTGAATTTCAGAAAAAAATTCATTACTGACATCGAAAGTTTACGAGCTGAAATTAAAAGAATCCAATAAGCATTATGTATACCTAAGTTTAGCCAAATTAGGCCTTTTTCATTCTAGATTCAGTCTTGCGTGTAGAGCATAATATTATGTAGGTACCTACAATTGAAACATTTTGTTGGGTGATTTTCTTACAAGATTTGATTGGATTAGCAATCCTGGATTAATAAGATTCAGACTTCTTGTCTTAAAGAAGAAAACTGCAACAAAATCGTTGGTTTGAAGTTGAATCGTGACTTGGACTTTGACCCTCTTAAATAAACAATCAAGTAGGTATGTGCCGATGTGGGTACATATTTACTCGCACAAGTATTACCTACATTGATTAATGCGCCTATGTTTTTTATATGTATTAGTACAATGATTGTTTTAGGTGTATCACTAGCTGTTTTTTTTTTTGGATAGGTCATCAATAGAACCAAACGCTGATAGTCAACCTACATTCAGAACTGGCAATGTCAAGTAATGTTAATGACCTAAAAGAAATAATAAATTGTCACGAAAATCTCTTTAGCTTCAGCAAATAGAGCGCTTGAACGTGGATGTAAAATTCCACTGATAACAGAATTGCTCTGCCAATTATCTGTTAGTGTAAACAATATAATCGAGTCAAGACATTCGGTGTCTGGATCGGGTGAGAGACGGTTGTGCGAAATCTGGGAGTGCTGGCAAAAGTGGGAATTGTAACTAAAAATGCGGTGGTATGGTGTGAGGCGCGGCGCCGTGCGTCCCGCCTCCATGTGAAGTGACTGAACTGAATCAGATGAGCCCAGTCGGCTGTACAGACCGCACGTGTGTGACGTACTGTGCTTTTTGTTGCCAGTGATCAGCTGCTTTTGTGTCATCCAGTGCCATTTACACCGCAACAGGTAAGTTTTTTGTTATGTAAACACATTTATAACCTCAATTCGGCTTCCGAATGTTTTTGTTACCAATATAGAGCGGTATAGGCCGCGTCATGGAATTCATGAATGAGTACGCGAATTGATGTTATTTTTCGTTGTTAGCGCGATAAGTGAGCATTGTTGATGTGTTTGTTAATTTTTCGCCACTTAGGACTTCGATGTGAATAGAATTTGTACCAGAATCTGTAGTGTCGCTTCTAAACGGTTTGTGACAAGATTTGTTTGTTTTTATTGTAAAGTTGTTGTTAAACAAAAAAAAATCTAGAAACTTCAAGCCGGTTTTGATGCTGTACTTATACCTACGTCTGGCCAGACAATACCGGGTGTATACCGCATTCTTCATGGCTATTTTTACAATGGATAATAGGATTATGTTGTTAGTAGGTCTGCGGTAGCCTTTCTCCAGGTATTTTTCTATTGCCGCGTAACTGGTTCGAACTAGAAATGTCTGGTTTCGCGACATGAACCGGTTTATTTGCAATACAGTCTCTGCCTTCGACTCTACGTCCCATAAAGTAATGCGAAAATGGTAACCTGTATCTAGGGTAAAAACTTATTGACCTTGAAAACTTATTCCGCTCATAAGCATTTAGATAATCGTACGAAATATTACTAGTTTTCTAATAGGAATGTGATTCCAGTTCAAACAATCAAAATCTAGATAATAATATAAATATTCCATTTTTATCTGTACTTATTGAATTATCTTTTATCCAACAGACAAGTAAACAAATACTTACTGATTGTGCAGCAGCACTATTTTGTTTAAGCCCAAGGCATTCAAAATCATTCAGTAGGTAGGATTTGCAAAGTCTTAGTTCTTTTTTGGCATACTTTTCCAAATGCTGATGTTCAACATTGAAAACTACATGTTGAATTTTAAGTAGTGTTGACCTGATTTTCATGTGCCTTTTTGATTGGTGACATCGTTACGGTCTGGGCGAAAATTTGCGAAACGGATCGTATAGGCGCTAGAAAAGGTATAAGAATTCAATTTATTTCGGTAAGTACTAAAGGTGATTTCGTAGAGAGCTTATAGTTATATCACTTATTAGATTTTCCAATCTACATTATACTGTCATAAAAGGGTCATGGCCCTACTTTTGCAGTATTAAGCTTCTTTTGCCTATGCTTTACGACCTAAATGGATATTCAATCAGTCTTTTTTTATGACTATCTTTGGACAATTTTGCCCAGCGCCACTACTTATAAATAATTTCTTTAAATACATACACATTATACATAGAACACCCAGCCGCCGTCACACAAATTAAAATTCATCCGTTCAATTTCTGCCCGGCCAGGAATCGAACCCGGGACCCCTCGGTATCGGTACACCAAACGGCCGACAATCAGTTAACCTATTTAATCGTATTTGTTTTAACAAAGAGAAGAAAATATAACATACCTACATAGTTTATTAATGCTTTTTCGATAGTAAGTAAAGGTTCTCTACCAAACCATTGATTGGCAATATTTTGAAAAATGCGAATTATTTTTCGCGATTTTAAAATTGAGCTCATGTTTTATGTGTGTTTTAAAAGCGTATTTAGTTTTACCTGTTATATTGCCCTGTAAAAATAAGTATTTCTTGAATTATTGAAATCAACTTTAAAGTAGGTACCTACTTACTGGAGATAAAAAACCTAGAAAGTAGGTTAGGTATTCAAACGTAACGGTAGACCTAATAATTGTATTTATTGAACACTTATGCTGCCACTTGCTCTACATTATTGACAAGTACCTATCCAAGAATTAGCTTTGTTGGTTTTTAATTCATCATCATCATTTTCAGCCATAGGACGTCCACTGCTGAACATAGGCCTACCCCAATGATTTCCACAAGTACTGGTTGGTGGCGGCCTGCATCCAGCCCCTTTCCGCTACCTTTATGAGGTCGTTAGTCCACCTTGTGGTAATGGTAGTAGTAAGTGGCGTAGGAACGCTGCGCTTTCCGGTACGATGCCTCCACTCCAGAACCTTGCTGCGCCATCGGCCGTTAGTTCTGCGTACTATGTGCCCTGCCCATTGCCACTTCATTTTGCTAATCTGTTGGGCTATGTCAGCGACTTTAGTTCGTTTACAGATCTTCTCATTTCTGATTCGATCTTATAATAAAACGACTTGAATGCTTGCAGGAAACGAACTGAAGTTTTATTTCATCAAACCTCATTGACATAAGATGGCGCTACTAGTACTTCCTTAGTACAGATTATTAAACATCATTATTGTTTACGATATTATTTCAACACCGCCACTATATCTAAACAATAATTAATTAACATTTTGAATACCTAATTTGTTTAGAAATCTATAATGTTTTGCAGTACATAAGGCCTTGGTCAACAAATCTGCAGGCATCTCAGCTGTTGACATATACATCAAGTTAATAACTTTATTTGCCACACAATCTCTACAAAAATGATACCTGATGTCGATATGTTTGGTCCTTTTGTGAAAAACTGGATTATATGCTAACTTTTGCGCACTTTGGTTATCATTATAAAGATCAATACTATACATTGTTCCTGTAATCTCATACTGTAAATTCTTTAAATAAATTGATTCTTTACAAGCTTCAGTTATTGCCATATATTCGGCCTCGCTACTTGATAAAGCTATGGTTTGCTGTTTCTTACACTCCCATGAAACTATACAGCCTGAAAGAGTAAAGCAGAATCCAGTATAAGAACGTCTATCAATGATATTGCCACCCCAGTCAGCATCAACGTAACCCTCTAACATTGAATTTCCATTAGCAGAATATACAAGACCAAAATCTCTAGTCTTTTTCAAATATTTAAGTACTCGCTTAACATAGGCACAATGTTCAGTCGTGTAACAATTATTAAATTGGCTCAAAAATCCTACCGCAAACGAAATGTCTGGCCTGGTGAGCACTGCCAAATACATCAGGCAAGCGTGCTGGGCCCATAACCTATAATAAAACGACTTGAATGCTTGCAGGAAACGAACTGAAGTTTTATTTCATCAAACCACATTGACATAAGATGGCGCTACTAGTACTTCCTTAGTACAGATTATTAAACATCATTATTGTTTACGATATTATTTCAACAGATCTCGTAAAGAAACACCGAGCATAGCCCTCTCCATAGCACGCTGTGCAATTTTGAGCTTATTTATAAGGCCTCTATATTGAGAGGCCACGTTTCCGAGCCGTATATCATCCCTGGTAATACACACTGATGAAGACTTTCGTCTTTAGGCACTTAGGTATTTACTTATCTATACAATTTTACTCCATGGAATTGTCGTGTCTCATATGAAACCTCTATTAACTTCAAGTGACTCTTCTACTAAAAGTTGACCTTATCTACGGGTGCTTTCGTGTAATAATCACATGATAGTAACAATAAATTTAATCCCAACTATATTATTTATTATTATATTATTATAATATTAATATTATAAATGCGAAAGTAACTCTGTCTGTCTGTCTGTCTGTTACGCTTTCCCGCTTAAACCTCGCAACCGATTTTGATGAAATTTGGCATAGAGATAGTTTGAGTCCCGGGAAAGAACATAGGATAGTTTTTATCCCGGTTTTTGAAACAGGGACGCGCGCGATAAAGTTTTTCTGTGACAGACAAAATTCCACGCGGGCGAAGCCGCGGGCGGAAAGCTAGTTAGAAGATAAAAAGGTAGGATATTGAAGAAACAGAAACATTTGCTAAGTATAATAGTGAACACTCTCTGGTTTCCACTGCAAACCATAATGTTGCATGAATTATAAATAAACAAATTGAAAAAATCGAACTGCCTAAAGCGGGAATCGAACCCACGACCTTTACCTTTCGCTTGTTTAGACACTAATTAGAAGCGACTCTAATCACTAAGTTTTAATTGTAATAATGTGCATGGGTCTAAAACGTACCAGTAGGATATGTGGAAAGGTATTTTTGATCCAAGTATTTCAGACGAATTCTTTGTGGTGTGAATCCTGAACTTAACACTGAGAAAATGTTGACTAGGATTAGCTTTACGTGATCTGTGGTATGATCGTAAATATATTATGTCCCATAACGGTTATGGCAGATTACATGCAACTTGCAAAGATTAGATAGCAGTAATCGGTTAGAAATAACACCGTTGTGAAAAAAGATCAATAACATTTGTCTAGACTCCAGGCTTTCAAAACAAAAACATAGTTACCAGCTCAATAGAGCCACAAAATATATATTTCTATTTTGCTAAAGAGCTCTACATAAACTGTGGCGGATACAAAATTTATAATAAGACAAATATTATTTTGAAGTGGTGGTGCTTTGAGTTTTCGCTAGGTTTAGGGACATTGAGTATCTTATGCATTCCAACGACATAAACTTCACTACGAAACGACTGTTCATCAATCTTTTAGACTGCGATCTCCAACCCGCCTGCCAAGCGTGGCTGGGGATCATGGCAAAACCCTCAACTATAGTGGAGGAGGCTCGTATTCCAGCAGTGGACTGTAAAGGGCTGTTGATGATGATGACGACGATGACGAAACGACTGTATTTAAAAGAGATTTTTCTATAACGGAAGGAAGTGATTTTGAAAGAAAGAAAGAAGTAAGAAAAAAAGAAAGAAGAAAGAAAGAAATATTTATTACGATGTACATCACTTAGAGAACAAAAAAGTATACGGAAAAAAGACAGAAATAGCACATAAATATTACAATGAAATAAAAAGTGAACTGAGCAGTGCCACCCTGTTACAACAGCAATGGCCAGCGCAATGGGACTCCACTTAGCATATGCCGTGGCCCACGGTGGGGAAGGCTACGACCCTGGTTTTCAGTGGGCCCCATGCTGAGTGCTAGTGCATTTTGCTAGAGAGACCTTCGCTCTTCTAGTAATTATTTTCGCTACACGAATGGAATTGTGAAGATGGGTGATGGGTGATGAAGATGAATTCGAACGACGATTGACGAGCAACACCACCTCCGTCAGATCCACAAT